TCTTTATCATAATTGCCTCTGCATTGGATTATCACTGGTTTTAGTAATAACTTAATACCTAGATCTGAAAGTAGAAGTCTAGGAAATGGCCTGGTGGGCTGGATTCGGCCTCTGGGCCTTGAGTTTGACATATGTGCTCCATCCTGTTTAGTGACCATTTTGTTTTCTACCCTCTAGCTTACTGCCCTCCCAGACCTTATCATTGATGCCTTACTACACATTTCCCCTTCTATCCGATATCCCATTGTTCCTCTTCTACTCTTCCAATTTGACGGTTACTCACAGGTGACACTTTGGTATTAAGTAGTTGACTGTTTACTTTTTCGTACATTATTGTGTTTAGCCGAACGAGATTTGTATCTGTTTCTCGATTTAGAATTTTAGCTATTACTAGGAAATACTGTTTGTTCTATCTGAGTACTTTATGAAAAATGATATGCATTCAAAAAAAAAAGTTTAGCTCATTAAATGCCAGGGGACATAATGGTCCACTTAAACTCTCCATGTTATGGATATGATCGCAGTCAGGATGTGCTCACAGACCCGAACGGCAGATACATAATTCTAGTTGTCTCCTTTTAATAATCATACATTCACCTTAGTGAATATATATGCCCCTAACAAACATCATAAGAAACTACTCAACACTTTGAGGCATAAAATTACTACTGGGCGCAAAGGTTACCTCATGGGATTGTACACACCATTGACACCCATCATACCATAACAATAAACTTAGATAATAAAGTAAAACACAACAACTATTGTGGAAAAACTATAGGCCGCGGCCCCTTTATTGGGTTTTAATCAATGTAACCAATAAATAGACTTTAACCTTTATTACCAAACATAACCACTGTTAGCCATTAACAGACCAGCATGCTTAGTCACTACGACTCAAGCAGCAATAACTTACACCAACCAAATTACCGTTTACCAACCACTGTCCACCCACGATTTACCCCATAAAGATTGACCGCGACAAGGGAAAGTACAGTAAAGGGGAGGGTTGGCGGGGAGCAGATAAAAAAATCCAAAAGGAATTGTGAAGCTAATCCAGAAGTGAGTCCAGCTGGCAGTTCTGAGGTAAATGCTGACATTGTCCAGTGACAGGAGTGACTATAGAGGGAAAAGGTTACTCTCATTGGTCAGCTGTTTTCCCGCCAAAAGTCTGTCACCAATCCTGTGCTCAGCTGACCTGAAGGTCTGTCCAGCAACTGAGGTAAATCATCCTGGCAACAGCATGCAGCGTGTAACCTGAAAGACTAAGCCGAAAGAACCAGCAAAGCAGTCCCAGAGAGACATGTACTTAACAGTTATCCCACACCTCTATTCAAATATAGTTAGTTTTAAAAACACATGGATGATAGGGGCAATAATCCCATGGGGCCACTTTTCTTATTTTGCTTCCGTGGCCCTAACATTCTTTGTGGTGATTTTAATGATCTTTTGAAGGCGGAGCTGGAAACCTCTAACAAGAAGAGACGTCCTAACTCTGCCATTCCCTCTTTTCTTGTGTCCACTGACCTGTATGATATGCTTCTCAACACTCTTATCCCAGAATTGACATGTTTTTCGTTGATCAGCACACCTTGCAGCATATAACAAATTCTGATATTGGGCTGATTACCTGGTTGGACCATGCCCCTATCTCCATAACACTTTTTCACAATTGCAATCCAGACTCCTCCACAATTCTGGTCTCTTAGCTAATTCGCAACACAGGGAAAATATCCGTTCTGAACTAGTGTCCTTTTTCCACGCCATCATTGACTCAGTTCGAAACAATCCTTTGGTCTGGAATACATACAAAGCTTTCATTAGAAGTCTATTGATTAAAATAGGTGCCCACGAAAAGAGGCGACGTTCACGCAAGATGCTCCACTTACCCAAATTCGAGGTCTTGAAGAGCAGAACAAACAACACTATGACCCGCGTCTAGTTGAAGAACATAAAGCCCTTCACCACAAACTCTGTTTACTCCTCACTTCCCAACATGACTACTTCCTCAAAAAGCTGAAATGTCATTTTTATTCGCAAGGTAATATACTGGGTGTCTTCCTGGCTAAGCAATATAAACGCAGGTTGGAAAAGTCCAAGACCCCCTTCCTAATTGATCAGTCTTCTCCAGTTTTGAAAAATTCCCCCCATTGCGTTTTGGGATTGCAAATGTCAAGTTTAGATGCGGCTGCTGTCACCCGTTCAAATTAATGACCGGGTGTTTGTATGTAATTGTATGTGATACGATTAGTGTACATGCGGCTTGGAATAGATGATTGTCGTTGGATGCATCTATTGTATGTACAGGGACAGTGAATGGAATGTCCCAAATAAAAAACGCATTCACTGTTAGAATTCATTTGTTCGAGAAACATTTTCCATCCCGCTCCTTCACTTTTATTTTTTTGGTCACTGCGGTTGAAATTGATCATCGATTTGGCCCCATTATGTGAAAATTGTACAAACATTCTGAAAGTAATTTTTTTTTTGTATGGTCCGTATTCATAAGCTCACATCTGGACCAAACCCGTTCCGAACTTGAGCTCCTCCGAATACCGAAGCTTCATGGGGCTTCCCACCCAATCAGCTGCAGGCCAGGACACTCCCCACTGCTCAATTGGCCATAAACAAAGGTGCGGGATGCTTGTGCTTAAATCATTTACCTTATATGGCCTTATAAGGTTATTTACCTAAATTAGCCAAGTAGCCATATAAGGTCAACGATGTCACTGCATCCCGCCTCTTTGCTTACAGCGCAAAACTTCCTGGCCGCAGCTGATTGGCGGTAACAGAAGGAGTGTTGTTCCATGCTTAGAGGTGCTCAGGTTCGGGCTGGGTTCAGTGGTTTGTTTTTAAAGATTCTGGCAACCACAAGCATGACTCCCAGAGGCAAAGGTAATTATGAGATTTGTTGCTTCACCACAGCTAGAGTGCTGAGGTTGGACTCCTTGTCTATATTCTAGCAATTGTTTTTATTTTTTCCAAGTATTTTTGGACCAATGTCTGTGGCAAAACTTGATAAAAAATTGACGTGTAAAATGGAGGTGTCCTGACTGGGCCATACACTGGTTGGATTTTGTCCAAGTCAGCAGGAAATTTGACCAGCGTACGGCCAGCTTAACACTTGGCCCCAACTCTTAACCTGACCACCAAAGTGGCCTCTTAACACCTAATATTTGAAACACTGGGCCTCACTTTAGCCTAATGCTAAACCTTGGCACTCCATCTGTGGTAAAACTACAAAACCCATCATGCCTTTGTCTCTGGAAGACATGCCTGGGTCTGGCAGAGTCCTGCAATGCCCCATGGGACTTTTAGTTCCACAACAGCTGGAGTGCCAAGGTTGCCTACTTCTGGCCTGACGTGACCCCAGAACTAAATTCCTCCACCCCAACACTAATCTAAGCCCTTGTAATTTATACTCGATTCATCCTGCAACTCTGCTGAATCTGTACAGCTCTACACAGTCATACTGACACCTATTGTTCCGGGTTCACTCTAACTGTAAAGAGCCCTTTCCTATACCAGTGGGAAACTCTTCTTTTCTTCGTACGCAGCTTATTACCCTCATGCCCTGTGTATAGTTGTGCAGGTATAATAGATGATGCGCTCTAAGTTGTTTTGTTTTTTTAAACGAAACAAGCTCATTTTTAAATGTTCATTAGAAGTGGGACCTCTACTTCCAGAGCTCCCCCATTTAAAAAAATAAAGCAGTTCTAATATTCACTTACCCTCTCCATGCTCCAGCGACGCCCCCCGACTTCCTCCTCGGACCAGGGATGCCCCCGACTTCCTCCTCGGTCCAGCGATGCCCCCGACTTCCTCCTCGGTCCAGAGATGCCCCTGACTTCCTCCACGGTCCAGCGATGCCTCCGACTTCCTCCTCGGTCCAGCGACTTCCTCCTCGGTCCAGCGATGCCCTCGACTTCCTGGAGGTCCTTTACAGAGCGGAATGACATGCTGCCATTCTGCCAATTTCCAGGTCATCACATATGTTGGGTTCCAGGAGGGAACGACGCCCACCTAATTACATGAAAGAGGGCAATTGATCAAAACTGGAGCAGACGGAATCTGGAGCAGTTGCCCATAGTAACCAATCCGTTTCTCTCTTCATTTTGTTCAGTAAAGTTTTGAAAATGAAAAAGAGAAGCTGATTGGTTGCCGTGGACAACTGCTCCAGATTTTGTCTGCTCCAGTTTTGATAAATCCTCACAAACATGCATCTTAAAGTGGGACTAAACCCCCTGATTTAGATCCCCGTTCACAGATTCGTTTTCCCTCAAAGCGTACCAAACATGTGCATTGACACCTGTTCATTGAACGTGTCAAAGACATGTAATGCGCTTGCGGTGCCATTACTTGTTAACACGGCTGGGAAAACACAAATATTTTCCCGCACGTTAATGCGTGTTAATTGCGTTAATTACATAGGCACTGTTGTCATCATCAGGATACCTGCCCTGAGAAATGCCATGGAGTGCAATGTGGACATGAAGTGGCTGCAGGAGATCAGTAGCATGGAACTGCATGCAAGGGTAAGGTAAAAACAAGTTGGGGTGTAATCCTACTTTAAATCCCTAACTTTCTGCATGTATACCTAAAGAAATAAAATGAGAAAAACAAATATATAATATTATATACGATAATATATATTTCAATGTAATTTTTATTTGATAAAAATATTGATGTCTCCTTGAGCTCTGAAAGGATGCGTTGAATTGGTGCAGTAAACCCGAGACACTGAGATGTATTTAAAAGCGCTGAGCCTCATTATGTCGACTCTTCCCAGAAATGGTCATTAAGCTCTGCCCTATGGATGGTCCAGGTCACCCAGCACTATGGCGGCCGGGTCACCAATGATGCATTCCAGCGCTAATCACTGGGATTAAACTGTTAATGCTGTGTGTATGCTGCTCTCTCTGTCACTGAGTCAGTCTCTTTCTCTCTCTCTCCCCCCTTCTCTCTCTCTCTCTCCCCCCCTACGCTTTGCTGTTTATCAGGCTCTGCTATCGCTGACGCTCCCATTATAAAAGACAAGTGGCTTCAGGGCAGATGTGCCCTCTTCTTCCAAACCTCCGTTAGCCAATCCGTCATGGATTCTGAAGTGGCGCTCCAGGACCTCTGCTCGCGAGTTATTCAACAGTTGCGCCAAATCAGGGCGGATCTCGTACACCTGACGGAGAAATATGTGAGATATCTGGAATTGTGTGTTATGTGCCGGATTGTGTCTTCTACTCGATCACGCTGGAAGCGCTCTCGTGCGTTTTGCTGCATTGATTTTTTAATAGGATCGAATCAGTCAAATGCATTGCTGTGCATGGGAGAAAAAGTTCTGCTTGCTGCATTTTGGGTGTTTTAATCTGAATTGTGCCATTTAATTTAAAACCATACTTTTAAAAACATATTATTGCATGCATTATGGCGTGTTCGAGCCCTTATAGCGGGGGAGGCAAGCTCAGAACTTCAGCTGTTGTGCAACTACAAGTCCCATGTGGCACTGCAAGCCTCTGACAGCTACAGGCATGACTCCCAGAGACCGAAGCATGAGATTTGTAGTTTCACCACAGCTGGAGTGCTGAGGTTGCCTAACCTTGCCCAAAACTGTTTCTGAAGGAAACCTGTAATGAAAGTAATATGTAAGTTGAGCAGCCTGGCTGTTATGCTGATCTTCTGGAGTCAGTCATTTCTAAATCACTTAGCCAAAACAAGTATGCAGAGCAAGACTTCTGACTTGGTAGACTATTAAGTGTAGGGATGTAGTGTTTCCCCTAAATTCTTTTTGTCTCTTGTGCTCTGTCAGTGTAGATTAGTCAGTTTAGCTGTGCTGGCTTGTGTACTCTGAGTGTGCAGTGATTATTCTCAGCCACCTGCTGTGTTGAGTGTTAACCAGCAGGGTGTGCTAGAGGTAATACTCCACATTATGTATGTGTAATACCTGGCCAATCAGTAGGTCTGGGGGGGCCTGCTGTTATGCTGGGAGAGCTATTAAAGGTCAATTAAACACTTTACTTTTTTGCTATCACATAGGGGACTAAGAAATCCCCTAAGTGATAGCCAATTCACATGACAGGTCCTCTTTATGGAGACATCAAGGGTCTCTGAGACCCCTCCTAGGGACCCCCTCGAGAAGCTGATGAAGCAGAGATCTGCTTCCCCAGCTTCTCGCCGTTGTTCTGTACCGAAGAGTGACACTTAATGCAGGAAGTGATGTAGTATACATCACTTCCTGTATTCGGGGACCAAGAATAGATCAAAGGAAGATTGTGTACTGATCTCAACTGAGAGCGTCGCCGTGCGGGTCCCAGCTGCACCGGCACAGTGGATCTCGGGTGTGGAGGTACGGGGTGGGGAGGTGCACACCCGCAGCTCCAGCAAGCGATCGGACGTCTCTAGAGACGCCCGATCGCTTGAATGTAAACAGCCATCGCTGGCTGTTTACATTGCTAACAGTTTCCCACTCGTGTGCGCACTGAGTGCCGCGCACGATCGGGGGGGAGGGGCAGGACGTCTTAAGACGCCCTCCCGCTCCTACAAGACTCCCGTCCGGACGTTCGGGAACGGCCATGGACGGGAGGTGGCTAAACTTATATGTCTCCACCGCGCACTCCCATCTGAAGATTCTCGGGCGGCCGCAAAGGATCATGGGGCGGGTGCATGCGCAGTAGAGATCTTCGACCAGGAAAAGAGGAGAGGCACAGGGTAAGTCAATGCAGTCAGCGGACTCTGTGGGACAGGAAGAGACAGGAGTCAGCGCTGGATCAGAGACCGGCACCAGCACTGGAGGGAGTCCTAAAAATCACCAAAGGAAAAAGATCAGATCAAGAGGCATCATGTAAGGTAAGTCCTTACACCAGCACAGGATGGGGGGGAGAGGGTATGGGGGTTTAGTGTCACTTTAAATATGTATGGCACTGCCTGGTACAGTCTCTTCTCTCCAAGGTTTTCACTCTGAGAGGGTACATCGGTGAATAACCAATCTAGACCCCCAGGCCTGAAGGCCTTGGGGATTTAATACTGTAGGGATCTCTGTCATGGGAGGTGTCCCTAAGAAGCTGGCTGTGTTGGAGTGCTACAGGCCTTGAGGAGACAAAGCTGCAGTTGTTCCCCACAGGGTGAGTGACTGACTGAGCTGGAAAGCACCACATGAACCTTCCCACTGTTGTCTTACACCTACCTTGATATTAAAGACTGAGCATACACAGGAACCTTAGTTCTACAAGGAGCCACTTATATTAGCTGTATTCCAGCCAGTAGAGTTCTGTGAAAGAAGGATCTAAATAGCTAGAAGACCAAAGATTCAAATGTAATTCTTCAGGTATCCTGTGCTCCCTCCATCCTCCTTCCCTATTCTTCACGCACATGCTATTAAAAGTCCATACAATCTATTAAAAATGACTGGCGCCCATCAATTCCACCATTCAAGGTAAAGAACTTCACCCTGAGAGAAATGTGCCTGAGACACTTATTGCCAAGTTAGTGGGTTTAGGACATTCGTGATGTACCTATTGACTATCCGAGAAGCCATCTGTGCCAAAACTGGTTACCAATAGCGTTACACAAGGAAGGAAGGAGAGGAAAACATATTGACCATGGGGTCAATATGTCAAGGATGGAAAGAGAACATACTGACCGTCTTTCGCGGGGGTGGTTGGTGGTCTTGGTGAGGTGTGCCGGGAATAAATACCTTTTTGGGTAACCCTAAAAGTCCAACTTTTTTTTTAGGTGTGGATATGAATGTTCGTTTTTGGCAATTATTTGCACAGATATTGGCAACCAAAAGGGCCCTGAAAATTGTTTATAAATAGATCCCAAAATGTGCAAGTATTGCAGAGATCTACTGAATATGTTACTTCGCCCCCTTCGCACCTTGTGCTGGAATTTTTTCCCCACCAATTTTAGGTGGTGGCCTCCTAGTTTTTGTAATGGAGTTAATCTTAAAGAGTTTGTTGCTAATGTTGCTACCACCATTGAACATCTTGTACATGAAAATCATATCCCCCTTAATCTCCTTACTTCCAACGTGAACATGTCTAAATTTAGTAGCCGTGTCTCTGGTCCTCCATTCCCCTAATGAGTTTGGTTGCCCTCCGCTGGATTTTCTCCAGCTCAAGGACATCTTTTCTGAGTACAGGTGACCAAAACTGGACCGCGTACTCCAGATGAGGGCGGACCAGTGATCTATAAAGTGGCAAAATTATAGACTTGTCCCTGCAATACATCCCCTTCTTAATACAGGACAAGACCCTGCTAGCTTTGTTTACAGCAGCCTGGCACTGCAAACTACCTTTCAGTTTGTGGTCTACAATATATGTATGTCATATATTTATGTGATGTGGTTCTTACAAAAGTAGCATAAATAATGTATGTTAGGATTATTTATACCTTGACACTCCTTCTCTTTTCAGTTGGAGACCCATGGGTTTCACGACTTACCGCACTTTGACATACATGGAGGGAGCGCATCCATGGGCTCGGACAGCTGGATGAAAATGGCTATGGAGGAACGATTGCTGGCCAACATCACTGCCTACATAAAACTGGAGAGACGGCTAACGCAAGTGATAGAAGAGCAAGCAGAAAGTCTTCTACAGGGAGAGGGAGACCTACACGGGGGTCTCCAAAACCTAATGGAACAAGTGTCGTCTCTAAGGGCACAGTTGGAGTACCTTGGGACCACCATTGGTGTGAAGATGGAGTCAGATGAGGGCACTGATGAATTTGATGGAGAATCAGGAAGTATGTTCGAGAGGAAGGTCAGGGGCTATCATGTCCTGAGAGAGCTGTCCATGTGGGCAGTGAGAAGTGTCAGGGACGTACGGAAGTTGCAGAGGGAGCAGAAGTTGGCCAACAAGACTGAAACACCCTCTGAAGGAAGTGGTCAATGAAGGGCTTGGGAAACTTTAGAAAGGGGAATGAAGAGGGCCTAGGAGAACAACATTTAAAGAACACCTGTGCTTCAGCAATAAACATAATGCTGACATAGGAGGGTAGGAAGCAAATTCTGTACTTGATGTTACAGTAATGGCTTTATTGTATTTTGGACAGGGCAGCCATCAGGAATTGTGGGGCCCCTTACACAGCTTTAGGCCTGCCCCCCCCCCAGGCAGCAGCTGTGCTCCGCTCCAGCCTTGGTCTTCGGTGCTTCTGCCCAGGAATAAAAGCTCCACCGCTGAACGTAATCAAGAGGGTACCAATAGCACAGGGGGGCCCGGAATCTAACTAATCTGTCCATAATAATCTATAAGAAAAATGCTTTCTTGGAGCCTGGGCCCCCCCAGCCACCTGGGCGCCTTACACCAGTACAGGTCGTACCCCCCTGATGGCAGCCCTGATTTTGGAAGTCAGTCCTGCTTGGACCTTGGCAGAGCCAGTTGTGTCCTCCCCCTTCCGTTCTGCAAGTCAGCACTGAAGGATCGGACAGGGGAGGGTGGGAATCCCTGCAGAGAGCCGTGAGTGACGAGCGCCGGTATGTGTTCGCTCACTTCCCCATCTACTGAGCCGACCTGTGACAGTTTCATTGTCACACGTCGGCTCGGATTTTGAGTCTGAGTGAAAATCACTCGCCTCATAGTTCTCCTTTAAAGTGTATCAAAACCCAAAAACAAAAGTGTAATATTTTGCATCTTACCAATTCTTAAATGTGGAGGCTGCATTAGTTAGTCCGGTCAGTAACGCACTTCCTTTCTTAGGGTGGCTCTACTCTATGGAGCAGCAATGGAGCCACCCTTGGGCAGCAGCACTGTCACCGTGTGTGGAGGGTGGTGTTAGACTCCTAGCTGGACTTGGCTAACCAATTAAATCTGAACTTCAGTTAACGCATTTTAAGCTTTTTTTTTTTCCTTTTGAGATGAAGTTTTTTTATAAATAAATAAAAGCGGACCATTGAGAGTACCCCTGTCAGTGATACATGATTTGTCTCAACCATCTATCTGCCACTTTTGCAGGACAGCTTGGTCTGACAAAGGAAACTGAAAAATAACAGACTCACCAGATGCAAATAAAGGGAAAAATACGATTAGTGCCTCACTTCCATATCCACCATCTTTGTCTTCTCCACAGCTACAGGGGCACTTGAAGTAATGTCAGTCTATATGTGATCATTACTAGATATTGCTTGGTTCAATGCTCACCACACAGCAAATATATTCAGATTAAATCTAATTTAACGTGACGGGTGCGATAATCATTGCTTACGTCGGCATTTAAAGTGAACCTTTAAAGGAGAACTATGAGGTGTGTGATTTTCACTCAACCTCATAGTTCGAGCCGACGTGTGACAATGAGACTGTCACATGTCGGCTCAATAGATCGGGAAGTGAGCGAACACACACTGTCGCTCACTCCTCGATCCTGTCCCTGCAGAGAGTGGTGACTGTCAGTCATGGCTCCCTGCAGGGATTCGAACGGGGGAGGGGGCGGGTACAGCTGGCTCTGCCTCTAGATAGGCAGAGCCAGCTGTCAATCACGCAGCTGGGTGGATCTCGACAGTAATGTAGGAATCCGTCCCAGCTGTGGCGGTCTCAGTATATAGTGAGCTGTAGCTCGCAGTATACTGAGCCTAGGGTAACGGGAGGACGCTAGTTTATATCCTCCCGTGACCCTGAGGAGAACTATGGGGAAAACACTTACCCCATACTTCTCCTTTAATAGGCATGCACAATTCAAACTGATCGCATGCAGGGCCATCCCTTTCATGAGGCAGCCCGAGGCTATTGCTCTTCGGGACAAGTGGCGGGCAGCAGGCGGGTGGGATTTCTTTAGAAGAATCCAATTGGTTGAAAAAAGAAAAAAAAAGTTTAAATGCAGAATTTTCTTCCTTCCCAAATGCACTAAAACAGGGGTAGCAAACCTCCGGCCCTCCAGCTGTGGTGGAACTACAAATCCCATGAGGCATTGCAAGATTCTCACAGCCACAGGCATGACTCCCAAATAGAGATGCATCATGGGATTTGTAGTTTCACCACCGCTGGAGGGCCGGAGGTTTGCTACCCCTGACCTAAAACATTCATTCATCAAGTACAGTATTAACCTCCCACTACCATCCCTCTTCACAGCATTAAGGGTGCATCTCAATGACAGGTGCTCTTTAAACCAATAATAGGACTGAAGACTGTGAAGGTAAACCATTATGCTGCTACTTTAACCCATTCGAGCCTGGCGCCAATTAACAATTTCATCGGAATTCCAAACATTCGCTGTAATGTCTTGGGGAGAAGCAGTTAAATCCTAATATATTCGATTTATTCTTCAATTCTATTTATTTATCGGTTTACCTGTTTTGTAATTTCTGCTGATCATTAATTTATTTTTACCAGAATATATGGACACATGTCACATGTGTCTTGCTGAAAAAGAATTGCCTTCATGCATGAAAAAAATAAATAAGTAAACAAAATACTATTACTGATGTTGTAGCCTGTTCTGTCATGTGAACCTGGGTGAGCGGTTGATAGGGTGATATGAAAGCTGCAAGTGAAAGTGGGCGTGGCTAAACAATAAAGGGGCATGGCCTCTAATGAGCAAAGTACATGACAGTAGCACCTCGTCATCAAATATACCTATTAGTAAAAGTAAAATTAATGTACAGATTGTGTAACACTTCTCATGGACATAATGGGGGGAATTTATCAAAATCTGGAGCAGATTTGCACTGCAACCTATCAGCTTCTCTCTCTCATTTTCAAATCTTACCTGAGCAAACTGAAGAGAGATGCTGATTGGTTGCCATGGGCAACTGCTCCCAGATTTTGTTTGTTCCAGTTTTGATCAATTCCCCTCAATATGTTTGGACTGAATGTGGTCCAAACCCGAGCTCCTCCAAACATGGAAGGAAACTTCTTCTGCTGCCGACCAATCAGATACGACTTGGGAATTGCCCGGCCGCAGCTGCACGTAAGTAAAGGATTGGGTTGGGGTGACATCATTGACCTTATATTGCCGTATGGCTTTATTTGGTCATGTGGCCATGTAAGGAAAATAATGTCAGCACAAACATCCCAACCCTTTGTTCATGTGCAGTGGCAGGGAATGCCCCGGCCCACAGTGGATTGGGTGGGTGGGTCTTCTGTTTTCCGAAAAGCTCAGGTGTGAGTGAATCGACCTTTTGGCGATAGGAGTGCCTGCAAGGCTACACACCCTCCTTTGTGGGTACAAAGACTGTGGACTGTGTCCAATTCATGCTATAATTAGTCCCAGACTCTCCTTTAAGCCACGCCCATTATTAAGCACAATGTAGTCCCTCTGCATGCGCCGTGTCAATTTCCTTGATTCCCTAGGTGTCTCCTAACTCTTTCCCAGAGGTATGCTTTAGTCACGTTTTCACACTCTCACTGTTTTGATTAGCTGTAAAGTGAGGCGGATTACTTATTGTAGGCATTGTTCTCATTTTATTTATTATATTATCTAAAACACAGTTGGGCCTACGTTTTTGGTTTCTCTTGACGTATGTGTGTACAAACTCATCAGTCTCAGGATTGACTTATTGCGCGAAGGCCTCGTTCACACGAGACGTTTATCACTGAAGGAGGATTCCAGCAGCAGGAATCACAGCTTTGGCGGCTTCGCTTGTACAAAGCAACAATAGGCTGGCAGGAGAAAAAGGAATGGCATATAGCAGGGGCGTAACTAGAAATCACAAGGCCCCATAGCAAAATTTAGTATGAGGCCCTGTGACTTCTAGTTATGCCCCTTGCAGAGCCCACTTGAGATCCCACGCAGCCTACCTGAGGGTGACCCTGCAGAGCCCACCATTGACTCTCTATGGTGGGCTCTGCAGGGTCACCCTCAGGTGGGCTGGTCGCACTCCTTACATGTCCGCCTCCTCTTCCTGCACGATCGCTGATGGGCCCCGCCTCCTCCTCTGTTGCCGGGTCCGCCTCCTTCTCCGTCACCGGGCCCCCCTCCTCCTCTGCTGCCGGGTCCAGCCTGCTCCACCGCCGCTGCTGGCTCTCATTAACTCCGCAGCGGCTGTGAGAAGAATGCGCTGCTGCACAGATCACTCAACAGCAGCGCATTTTTCACAGCCGCCATTGAAAGCCACCAGCAGAGGATGCCATAGCGACCCAGGCGGCCCGCACGTCATCTGGCCGGGGCCCCCTGTACCCCACAGCGGCTGCCTGGGTCGCTATGGCGATTGTTACGCCACTGGCATATAGCATATCGTTTCAAAACGTTATTAAATATACATTAAAAACTACTCACACAGCCAATTATACAGATCCTGCACTCTAAGGGGCAGCACACACTGGAGTATAGCGCCCTCCACACTTCCAGTTAGCGATTGTGTGTATGCTCTGGAATCTTCTGGAGGATGTGTTGATCGACTCCACCTTACACGTTATGTCTCAACGACTTCATCAGAGGTGACACCCTTGCTATGTATCTTCACCTAGGATAAAAAATATTCACAATATACAAAAGGATATGAACACTAGATGGAATATTTAACACTAAGCGCAGCATATTAGCTTTCACTGATCATGTTTGTATACATTGTTGCAGCTGGTGACTAAACCTACTTTATCCTAGTGCAACTAAGGGGTCTATTCACGAAGCTGCCGAAGGATCTGGCCAAAGCTTCGGCCGATCCTTCGGCTAGCTTCGGCCCCAGGACCCCTTCGGTTCAGTAGAACCGAAGGGGTGCTGTACAGGCTATTCACAATAGACCGTACAGCTCCCAATCATGGCCGAGCGGCTCAGCCGAGCCGAACGCATAGGCTCGGCTGAGCCATGCTGAAAGCCGAAGCTGGCCGAGCGGCCGGCCATTGGTTGGCCGATAGCCTGCTTCTGACATCTGGGCGGAGCCAGTCGTGATCTTACGGCTGGCTCCGGCCACTTGCAGTGAGATCAGCGTCCCTGGTTACCTGCTAACCAGTGACACTGATCTCCAAACAGCAAAGCATTGTACCCGCCCTCTGCTGCCGTTCCCCATCAGGTCCATCAGCAGAGGGCGGGTACAATGCTGGTTTACTATTGGCTATTGCAAATTGAAATAGCCAATAGTAATGTCCCAATGCTTTTCAATGGGAATTTTATCC